TATCCAGGCAATTCCCCTTGAAATTCCCTCTTTATGACAATGATAGCACTTCTTAGATGTCTTCGATTTCGACTTAGATCGTTTGTGATAGCTTTTATTGGATCTTTGATCTTCTCTTCCTCTTGTTAACAACATTTTCCCATTCTTCTCTTCTTTAATTTCTAATTTTCTTTGCATTTCTTTTAAAATTAGAACTGATTTAACTTCAATCATCGCAAGAGTTTGTTTTCTATATAGCATTGTACCAACGATGTGTTATAAAACTTTGATAGAAAGATAAGAAGATTGATGTCTTGATCAATCTTCTTCGATTCTAACATCAACGTTCTTGAGATCAAGAATTATCATGTTGAATCCATCCAAATTTTTCATGAAATCTTTATTCTCATGCATTTCCAATGCATACAAAGATTTCTTCAAATACAAATGATTGGCAACTGATCTCTTCAAATAAAGTGATTCAAGCTTCTCCTAGACCTCCACCGCTGAATCTTCCTCTGCCACTTCTGTTAATACTTCGTCACTAAGCAAAAGAAGTATAACATTGTACGCATTTAGTTGAATTTTCCTTTCCTTTGCCCTATCTACTATAGCCGCCAGACTTTCACGCAAAATCACATTAGAAATTTCTCGGTGAACTTGAAGAGCCTTAATCTTTAATCTCCACATGTTAAAATCATTCTCACAGGTGAACTTTTCCATCTCAAATTTTTGTATTGATATTATTTGAAGCAGTAGTTGCTTCTACTCCACCTATTGTTTGCAAAGACAGTTTGTTGTCCACTAAAATCAGCCCATCAACCTAATTGTTGCTTTCCTCAACCTGTTATCCACAAAGAGCAGCCCAAGAAATGCTTTCTTCGCTGGTTGCCTCTTCTCCTCCATCTGTTCACTCGAACCCGCACCTACTGCGAGTTCACTTACTATGTGCTCTTGTGCAGCCTGCCTCCTACTTGCCCAAGCCCGAGCCCAGCGCTCGCACTCCATGTTCCCACACACGTTCACGCGCTAGTTTACACCAGCTCATGGGATCCGTTGTCCAAGCACAATCACACGACCTCTTTCCAGTGTGCGTCTAATCCACACGCGCATGTTAATATCCCTGCGTGACACCATCATGCAATCTGTGCCCACCATCCCTTGGCCTACATTCTTGCATGCACAACTCGAGTCAGCCAGTGTGTATACAGCGTGCACACCACTTCATGGGAAAACTGACTGACACAAGCCCAATCTCGCTCGCAATGTTCGACCCATCCTCTTGTATCATGCGTACAATGCAACATGCACATTCATCGTGATCACTATCTCGATCCGTCAAGCTATCCGTACAGTACTTGTGCCTGCAACTCCACCTTGTCCTTCTTTTCTTGATTACAAGAAACTTCCTCCTTCCCCTTGATCACCTCCTCCAGTCTCTGATACTAATTGATGTGAAAGAAAGTGCGAATTAGCTACACTGATTCCAAGAATCTCGAGAGAAGGAATAACACGAGTTGCAGGAAACATAATTTTATTTGTAATATCTAGAGAAATACAAAAAAAGCCCAAAAGCTTCTAGAGCACATATGGTTTTCACACCAATTACAAAAAACTCAAACCTCTACTTATAATAACACTATCAAGAAGTAAAACCAAGCAAAAGGATAAGATAAACCAAAGAAATAGAATTGCTAAAATTGGATCAAATACTAACACTTTCACAATAAACGAGCCAGCTCATGAGCAGTCTCTAACTTCTAGAATTAAGCTCAAACACAGCTTAAACTTGATCAAAAAAATCAATCTCAAACTCAAATCAGAGATAACTCGAACTTAACCCTATTCATTTACATCCCTAATTTTGATCAAATTTTCCCCTTAATTCACTTTTATTTAAAATCCAACAAAATAAAGTGTGAATAATAAAACAAAGGGAAGCTCTTACAATGCGAAGTTTCCCAAAAACCACACAAAAAAACCGTTGTTTTCAGCTCCAATTGCAAATTCCAGTTGTCAGCATATTTTTTTTGTCTGTATCACCATTATAAATATTCTTATAGCCCTATCGATCGATCTCCATCCTTCAGAAAAAGTTGAAAAAGTATTATTCCACGCGCCTATATCAGTATATAGAAGCAGCTCTCGCTCTGTCCGTCTCTGTCGTTAACTGTAAATCTGTAATCGGATTCCTTAAAAACAAACGGGCAACGACCACTGAAGTTGCCACTGAAAGACTTGGTCCAACACAAACTCAGCCATTCCATTCATTTAATTGGAAGAATATTAAGATGGGATTAGCAGACAAAATATCTGCGCATAGGTTTTGATCACTATTTTTTTTTTTTCTATTTTTTAAATTTTTTACTAGAAAATAGGGGTGTTAAAACAGGTCGGTGGGTCGGGTTCAGGTCAAACCCGAGTTGACCTGGGTCTAAATGGGTCAACTGAACCCGACCCGATTTACAAATGGGTCCGAATTTTCAACCCGAATCCGACCCGCACGGGTTACGGGTTGACCCGACTCGACCTGCAAAGGCCAAGCAAAGTAGCGTCGTAGTGAGGTTTGGGCTCGCGAGGCGAGGCCGAGGGCAGAGGTGAAGCGCGTAAGCGGTTGAGCGGTCGGAGCAGCCGGAGTATGGCAAGGCCGAGGCGGACCTTGTGTGGTCGAGGCGTCGAGCCGAGGCAGAGCGAGGAGTTGCGGAGGCGCGGAGTGGAGGGACGCGAGGTCGAACTGTCGAAGCGACATTACGCTACTGGCTATTGGGTGTAATAGCAGAGTCGCGGAGCTACTGGGCGACGTGACAGGCTAAGCTGGACGTGTCAAATTATCGGGTCAAATAGGTTGATTTCGGATTTTCAGGTCAACCTGAACTCGACCCGATTTCACAAACGAGTAGAAAATTTGAACCCGAACCCAACCCGTAATGTAAACAAATTGACCCGAACCCGAAATTTTTCAGGTCAGGTCCGGGTCAGGTTTCGGGTCGTGTTAGATTTTGACACCCCTACTAGAAAGTTCTTTGGAAAGCAAAAAACAAACGGTACCAAATGAAGCCTAAAATATATTTTATTGTTCATGATTTGTCTTTGAATAATTTTGATTGGCGAGAATCTTAATTTATTATTTATATTATTTTTTTAAATTAAATTTAAGATCGTATGAATTTTGATTTTAGTAAAATTATAATGAAGACGATCATCTTGACAAAATCAAACCAATGAAACCAGACGTGATCCGATGAGAGTCTAAATGAGCCAAATCAAGCATTTGAAGTATGATTGAAATTTTTAGGGTATTAATTGAAAAAATTAAGTGGAATCCAAATCTCGCATGTTTATAGACAAATCAAATGGCTCTACGAGATAACTCCATTAATCTAAAAGCATCTAATTAAAATGTTATATAGACACTTAAATGCTGAATAAATGATTTATAATCAAATGAATTAATATTCAACGTCAGATAGAGAGTTACGAAATTTTGTCAAATATATAAAAATATTCTTCATGAAGTTTTATAAATAGACTCTCACTCTTAAAAGATATATGATTCCCCGATTCTCAAGAATTCTCAAAAGGCTGAAAGCCTAAAAAAGTAAATGTTTTTTTGATTATCTAAAAATCTCATAAAGGTAAAAGTCTTAAGAAATATAAAAATAATACTTGGAAAAATTCTAGAAATTCACTTTATGTGTAGATAAAAGATGAATTTGCTTGCCAATGCACAACCCATGGGCTAAACTAGGCCCTAAAAACTTACAAAAAAAGAATATATACGATCCTTATAATATATCATATAGTGCACTTTTTCATATATCTGAATATCTCCAATTTCATGCTATAAACAGTGCAACGGACGTGGGGACTCGGGTCGGGGCGCAGCGTATGCAAATGCAATAGTAACTACATTATAAATTGAATGTAGTACTCAGATAATGTATACATTGTCATTAAAAGCTACACTGAATGTATAACATTATACCAACTAAATTTTTTCTGTTCAACTTCCAACTTCAGAGAGAGATTCATACGAATATTTTAAGAGTTTCATATAACTATTGTAATTGCTAGAAAAGCCTCAATTAAATCATATACCAAAAAAATTATGTAAAAAAAAATCAACCAATGAAATTTTGATTTCTTCTAGTCGAAACATTCGAAGTAAAGAGAACAATAACATATTAAAAGCTATGCCGTTAAAACTTTGTAAATTAAAAAAAAAAACTTATTTTTATCCATAATTATTTATAAAATTACTGTAATTAAAATAAGAGATAGGAGTTTACCTTATGCACTGTGAAATCCTTGATTGACCTGATGAATGAATTAAACCCGAGCTTTAGTTGCCAAAATCTCTATATTTCCTTTATCTCTCATCTTCTCCTCCTCTCTTCTCCAGCAATGGCTACGTTGATGAGGAATTAATAGTGGTTTTAAATATTTTATTATTTTAAAAATCACTCATTTGACCTTACACCGCGACGAATGCTCCTCAACGCTGCAGTGCTGAACCTAATCTTTTTTATTCTCATAGAATCTTTCCAAACAAAGAGCATGTCGCTGCAACGTTGCCACCCAACATGTAGCACACATTCAAAGACATTTCCCCATTGGAGAGCTTAACGCCGCGACGCTGCCCATCCAACGCCACACAAATAAAAATTATAAAAATTGTAATATATTTCTACGATAAAAATTAAAAAAACTAATTTGGAAATCCTCATAAATCCAAAGTTAAAGCATCTTAAATAAAAAAAATCTTACAATTTGCAAAATCAGTTAACTAATTTTATTTTACTTTTTCAAAGAAAAAAAAATCATTAATTTAATTGAAAATTGGAATCTAAAGTCATTGGACAAAGATACGATCCTCTCACAGCTGGCAAACCCATCCACTTGTCCCCTCCCTGCCCATCTGGCACTCCATTCCGTGTCCCGCGTTTGAAAGCGATTTTCTCAACCCGCAACTTATTTAAACCTCCCCGCAACGAACCTTCCAAACAACCGAACAAACCCACATGGACTCCTCCTCCTCCTCCGCCTCCCCCGCCGCCCATCTCACCTCCTCCGACGACCCCCCCTACATGACCGTCTCCTCCGCCCCTCCCAAGCGCCGCGCCGGCCGCACCAAATTCCGCGAAACGCGCCATCCCATCTACAAAGGCGTTCGCTGCCGCAACGCCGACCGCTGGGTTTGCGAAGTGCGCGAACCCAACAAGAAATCCCGCATATGGCTCGGCACGTTCCCCACCGCCGAGATGGCCGCCCGCGCCCACGATGTCGCCGCTCTCGCACTCCGCGGCCGCCAAGCTTGCCTCAACTTCGCCGACTCCGCCTGGCGCCTTCCTGCGCCGGAATCATCCAGCCCACGCGACATCCAGCGAGCGGCGGCCCAAGCTGCCGAGGCATTCCGCCCGGACCCGCCGGAGAAGTCGGTGCCGTCGGATGACCCGTTTTATATGGAGTTTGGAATGCAGGAGTATTTGGATATGGCGGAGGGATTGCTGATTGATCCGCCGGCGATGGTGTCGGAGGATGAAGGGGGAAGTGCGAGTGATGGAGATCTGTCGCTGTGGAATTACTGATCGGTGAGATTGGGGACCGGAATTGTAGTGGTTGTACAGTACGTATATATATTAATAGTGAGAGAATTTTGAGTTGATCTGCTGATCACTGAGGGGGCGGAAGACGCCGGAAGTGGCGGTGGCGTACGCTGCTATAAGCGCTGGGCTCCGGCAGGCGGAAGTACTGCCCGCCGATTATTATATGTATAATATGTATGATTATTATAGAACTATCAGATATAAGTCGGTTGGCTTATATATAACTTGCTTGGAAGTGCTACAGAGAGTGTAACGGAACGCTTTTTAAATAAATTATATTTAAAAAAAAATAGTTGGAGTTTTTTAGGTGATCAATGCTCTTTTGTGTGATTAATATTGAATCTCTTCCCACCTTAAGAGATTATTAAGATTTCGTCTCGGATAGCTTTCTCATTACTTTTTAATGCAATTTTTTAGTTAACAAAAATTAGTTCAAAAAATTATTAATTGATCATATATTTTCTCTCTTTTTTTTTTTTTTTTTGCCTTTTTTAAAGTGGCATATATTAATCATATTTAGGGACTATTTGATTAATTAAAAAAGGAATACAATATCAAATGAATAATTTGAAGTTGTTTGGATGGGTGAAAAAGGAAGGCGGGACTTTACAATTTTTATTTATTTTGAAGTAAAGTTAATGTTATGTAAATTATAAGAAGGTTTTGAATGGGTAGCTGGCAGCCGGTTGTGGTTGGTGGCGATGGGGGAGTCGCTGGTGGTGGTGGCACAGCTGGCGATGGCAGCTGACAACTAGTGGCAGTGGAGGCGATGGCCTTCATGAGTGGTCAATGAAGCACTTGAGCGATGTAAAGAACTCTCAGCTAAATTAAGCGATAATACTTTACCTCAAAAATAAACTAAAATAAAAAACGATGCATTTGCTTTACCTTGAATTTGCTTTTTAATTTTGTATTGAAAGAGAATGAAATATAAGTTGAATTCAAAATCTACAGATATTTAAAATGTAATTCATTTATTTTCACCAGTAAATTGAATAGAGCGAAATAATGTTTTCGTGAAGTATTATTTAAAGAGCAAAAATTTAAATTTGACAAAATTAAATAAAATTTTAAGCAATACTTTTTTCTTTCCATTAAATAATTAATATTTTTAGCATAATTATTAGGGCTGCAAACGAACCGAGTCGAGCTGAGTATGTGAGCGTTCATGTTTGTGTTCATTTAATATCAGCTTGTTCAAGTTTGGTTCATATTTGTTCGAGCTTTATTGTTTGTGTTCATGTTTGATTCATTTAAATTAATGAGTGTTCATGTTCGATTCATGTTCATTTCATGTTCGTTCATTCAGTGCTTATCGAGCTTGTTCGCGAACATATTTAACGAATTTTTAATTTTTAACTATCAAACAAACACGTTCATGAACATTTCTATGAACAAATACATTTATAATAAAAGCAATTTTCTATTTAACAAATGCAATGATTATTTATATTTATTAATTCTATAGTGAATTATTAATTATTTTTATTGAGCTTATTCACGAGTTCAAAATCGAACACGAATCGAGCTTTTTATCGAGCTTAATGTCGAGCTTGTTCACGAACTTCAAATGATGTTGTTCACGAACATAAACGAGCCGAACACATTAATGTTCAAGTTTTTTTATTTAAGAATCGAGTATTTAAAATATTGTTCAAGTTTGTTTGTTTAGTTAATTAAACGATCACAAACGAGCTTTAATCGAACTGAACAACGAGTAGCTCGTCGAACGTTTGGTTCGCCTTGCAGCCCTAAGCATAATCCTTACTCTCTAACTGCCCGGATCGATCGTTCCTAATTCAAGTTGATTATCATTTTTTTATTTGGTAGAATCTTTAGATATTAATCAGTTAAGTATTCAAAGAAAAAATTTATAGAATCAACTCTGTGATGATTTGGATTCTGAATTCTCCACTAAAAAAATTATGGTTAAAATGAATGCTTAGATAAGATAAATTTAGGTTTTGTTTGGGATAACTTTAGGCCACTATTTTTTGTGCTTTAAATAAATTTTTGAACTAAAAACTAATTTAAAAGTAGTAAGAACAGTTGTTCCAACGAAGCCTTAATAATAATGTGAAATATATTTAAATTATTTAAAATGTAAATTTAAGTAAAAAAATATTAAAAATGTTAGAAATTCAACTATAACTTTCTTATATCAAGTATTTTTATATTATCTTCTTCTTTAATTTTTGTTTATTATTTATTATAATAATGAATTGAATAAAATTATTTTATCTATTTTATAATAATGAATGAGCTCATGAGCCATACCAAAACTTATAAAATTACTCAAGCCGAAGTAGTAATAACTCAAGCTCGACTCAACTTTTTTATCAGGAGGGAGAGAAATTCGCCATGGTGTAGTGAGTCCATGACGAATAATAGCTAGACGAGCATGACGAGCGGGGCTAACATAGTGTGCCAAAGCTTAACATTTCTCTTTGACATCAACAAGTTAAATGGGGAAGGAGAGGGAACTTAATAAAACATTAAAAGGGTTATAGTTTTGTTGTATTTGACAACTCTTAATAATAAATGAGAAATAAATATTTTTAAGTGTTATATATGTAAATAATATAAATAAATAAATTTTATATCAATAATTATATAGAAAACATGCTATTTTAGCTTGTAAAAAAGAGCATATCCTTGGCTTAATTTCATAAAAATATTTAGGTCAATTTTCATAACCATGATTTTTATACTTTTTCTTTTTGTGAGTAGACTGTTCTTTATCTCTTCATCAAGTCCCATGGTGGCGGATTGTTCCTCCTTTGCAACCCGGGGTCTCACAATCTCTCTCTGTACAGCCACCTAATTAACACCCACAGCAGATTGCCGTGTGTGAGCACGAATAGGTCAACATGAAGGTTGTCGTAGACGAAGCGAGCGGACTCTTTCGGCCGGAGACGACAGGTCGCTAGCAGACTTGTCGAAGAGCTTCGGAGATGAGGCATTTTGGTTGCCGGATGGTTTTGCTGTTGCGACGGAGACCAAGAAGGGATCCATGGTGGAAATCGAGACCTATTCCAAGCTTCTACGGTTTTCAGTACTACACTGAGGTGATAGTTCACTACCAACAGAAGAAATTTTTTTGCCGGCGATTAAGCAATTAGTTTTTCTCGCAGTCTCAATGGGGATTGACGATTGAAAATTCTTGTTAGGCATTGCTATTTGTAACTGTTTTTTACGCAATTGACCATAAATGTCATACATTCAGTGAAGTAATTTCTTACTGTATAACACTATAGCTTTTGAACGGGGAACGTCTTTTCATCCTCTTGTTAAGGAAGTGCTGCCGAAAAGCTTGATTTTTTTTGGGTGTAATAGTGGTCATATTTCAGTGTGAGCTTTGCGCTTCGTTGAATTGGATATTAGGATGTGTTGAGGGGGAATGAAAGTTAAACTACGTGTATGATGTTAGTTGGATTTGGGAAACTAGTTTATTTTGGGTAAACCCTTTTGGCTCCTCTCAATTAAAATCCTAGTTCTACATTGGTAAGGGTCTAAACCAATATATTAATAATAAGACATGAAACAATTGCAAGGTCTAAAAGTGATTCCATATGGTTGCAAGTAATGCAATGGTGTACCCATAAAGCTACAAGGCATGCAATAAAAATCCATATCTAGATAAGACTAAATCACAAGCTAGGAATTACACACCCTTGAACTTTCCAGTTGTAACAATACATGTGAAATTAGTGTAGTATGGGATCAAATAAGCATCATTAAAGAATACCGCTAATAGCTATGCAAATCACAATAGGATGCACGGATACGGATATTCATGGTATAGACATATGATCTATCTATTATTTAAAATATAGAGCACATACATGCCTCGTACACATTATATAATTTATATTTTTTAAAATAAAAAATAAAGCATACAAATTAACAAAATAAATAGATTGAACATATAGAGTTGTAATAATACTCATATTTTTTATTGTGCATTGCATAATACACATGAAATATATATTAGATATTAAATAGTACAACTTAAACAAATGATTGCATGAAGATTAAAATTGTGTATTATTTGTAGATTCTTTTATCAATGATGTTTCGTTCTATAACATACTTATAGAGTTATAGTTAAAGACTATTTAGCTGAAAGACTCATCTCCATTCCATCTGATTAATTAGTATTTATTTGAAGGATTTCGGGGTTTGAAATTGAAAGGATAGGATGTTGCCACTACCTTATTGGGCTTCAGGGTTGGCTTTGGCTTCGTGAGAGGAATGACCATCATTCATTGAGCTTTGGAGTCAAGCTTTGGAGTTGAAAGGGGAGAGAATTTTAGGAGACAAGCATTTGAGAGTTGAGCTTTTGAATTTTTTTTTGGTAATGTTCACACTTAAAAGGTTAGTTATTAAAGCCTTAAATTTAGAAGATAGGTCATTGTAAGATATGTATTCATTGATCGGATATTTTGTACAATATATTGTTGCTCTTGTACCTTTCCTATGAGCATGAATATATCAGTGTCATAATTAGTGTTATCTTATAAATGAGGATCGGTGGTTTTGGTGTGGCAGAATGCTTGGTTTGATAATGATTGTTGGATCTTCTTGACTGCATGTATACCATGTTTTTATATTTGGTTTGCTATATGTGGTCTTCAAATTTTCAATGTGACGAAGGTTTTGAGCTTCAAGGAGGTTAGATGTCAATAGGATAGATACAAAACTCCTATTCATAAAGAGTGTTGGAATTCTTTCCCATAATATGAGTTTTGGTGAAAAAATGGATGGTTTTCAAAGAATGTTACATGTATAGAATTTTTTTTTAGGTAGTAATATTTGTACCCATGTTGGTTTGGGGAATAACCAATAAATATGCACTTAATGGCTTTTAGGCCAAGTTTGTTTCACTCATGCGATGAGATATAAACAAATGCAAATAACCCAAATATTTTGAGAGGAATAGTGGAGATAGCTTGTTCGTATGATAGGTTTCGTTGTGAACTTGACAAGGGTTTTTGAGTTTAAGAATTCTTGTTGGCATTTGATTAATGAGATAAGTAGTTGTTAGGACATCTTCTCCCTAATATTGATTTGAGATATTAGTAGTAATCATGATAGATCTAGCAACTTCTGAAAGTTTTTTTTTTTCTTTCAGCAATTACATTATGTTGAAGAGTATATGCGCAAGAGCTTTGGTGCACAATCCCTTGTTAAAGAAGGAATCTCCAAGAATTGAATGAAA